AAAAAAGGAATTGATAAGATGTTGGTTGAAAAAGGGAAAAAAATTTAAAAAAAAAGTTTAAAATAATTAACTTTGAAAGACTAAAGAATCATAATAAAAAAGCCATGAATTCTATGTGCAGTATTCCCCTATCCTTGGAGTTCTGCCGTTCTCATTGATCGGTAAACTTGGTCTTGGCTTGCTGGCTGTTCGTGCTGATCTTCTGGGGGAGGGGCCTGTTGCCGTGGTTCCCACATGTCTTTGCCGGAGGCGGAATTGCCCCGCCCTTGTCTAAGTCATCTGCTTGGGTTTGCTCTTGGGAGCTTTTGTTCCCTGCAAGCTCTCGGTGCAGCTTTGGAGAACGAGAGTGAAAATGGTGGCCTCCCAGTCTTCGCCCCGGAGGAGCTGAGAACTCGGGGCCCCACTCTCAGTGCGCCCCCAGAGAAAAGCAGTCACTCCCGTGTCCCTGGTCTCCGGCCGCACTCCGTGCTCACCCGGCCTGTGACCGAGCGTCTCTATCTCTGGCACCCGACCCCGCGTGGAGTCTCCAAACCCAGCAGATCCCTGCGGTGCGCTCCCGCGCCGCTCCTCCCGGGGGAGGGAGGGGAGTCTCCCCGGCTCTGCCGCTTGTTGGGTCACTGCTGGAGGAGCCCTGGCCCGACTGGGCCACGGATCACAGTTTATGGCCACCCCGAGCTGAGAGCCCACGCCTCGGCTCCGTCTCTGCAGCCGGCTTCCCCCCTCCGATCCCTGGGAGCTCTGCCGCACTCAGGTACCCCCGGTCTTTCTGTGACCCCGAGGGTCCTGAGACCCCACTGTCCCGCGAGGGCTCCACCCCCCACTTAGCCACTGGAGCGACGTCCCTCAGCGGAGCCGACTTCCAAAAGTTCCGATTTTGTGCTCCGCGGCTCTAGCACTTGCCAGAAGCGGCCGACGGAGGCCCCCTCCCCCGCCGTCTATCCTCCCGAAGATCGCCTCGGATTCACTTCTCCGCACGTCCTACCTTCCAGTAAGTGGTCGCTTTTCTGTTCAGAAAGTTGTTGCTATTCTTTTCTTCGATCTCCTGTTGAGTTCGTAGGTGTTCAGAATGGTTTGATCCCTATCCAGCCGAATTCCTGAGACCAGACGAAATCCAGGTCTCCTGCTCCCCCGCCATCTTGCTCCACCGAGGGTCTGACTCTTGATTTCAGCCCAGGTCGTGATCTCAGGGACCTGGGATCGAGTCCCACATCAGGCTCTCTGCTGGGCTTGGAGCCTGCTTAAAATTCTCTTTCTCCCTCTGCCTCTCCCCTGCCTCCCCCTCCCCCTACTTGATTCTCTTTCTCTTAAAAAAAAAAAAAAAGAACATAAAAGATTATGCATTGCCTTAATATTTGCAAAGAATCATTGAAGTATCTTTTTCAATCAGATTGGTTCATTATGCTCTTTTCTTGCCAGTGGAGGTAAAGTGTCTCAGGGAAGGGGGCACCTTTTCCTCATTTTGTGCTCAGGACCTCGTGGTAGCCTCGCCTGGCCCAGGTTCATGTCTCTTGGTTGGCTGTGATGCTGTGTGTGTCCCTGAGGTCCCCACTCCCTTCCCTGCACTGTGCTTGGGTCAGCTCAGGCCCACATCTCGCTGCAGAGAAGTATCCCACTGTAACTCACCCCTAAGCCTCCAGTTACACACGGCGAGGGCAGGAACAGAAAATCCAGAGCAGCCCACTCCCCTGGCTGTCTTCCTGCTGGCCCGCCCTGCCTGCTGTCCAGGCTGTGGTCAGCCCCTTGTTTTCTGGACTCATTTGTGGCTTCCCTCTGTCTTCCCCGGAATCACACCCCATCAGCTCTCAGGGAAGCTGTGGCCAAGCCAGCCTGCTGATCTCTCTCCTCCTGGAAGCTTTTGAGTAACAGGTGCAATGACATCCTCACCTGAAAACAAGTACCTTTGAGCTTGCTATTGGTATTGGAAATATATTGTTTATGGATACTGACATAGGTGGGAAAATTATCCACAAGATAATCGTGACTGTTGGGCAGGATCTTTGGTTGCTTTCTGTTCACCTCCCGGAACATGGCACAGTTCTGGATAGGTGAGTTTGCTGGATACTTGAGCTATAGAAGATCAAACCATAGGGTAATGCATTTTATTTTATTTAAGATTTTATTTAATTGAGAGAGAGAACACAAGCCAGGGGGAGGGGCAAAGAGAGGGAGAAGCAGACTCCCCCTGTGCAGGGAGCCCAATGCAGGGCTCGATCCCAGGACTCTGGGATCGTGACCTGAGCCGAAGGCAGATGCTTAACTGACTGAGCCGCCCAGGCGCCCCAGGGTAATGCATCTGAGAAGAGGCAACAGAGGGAACATTACTATTTCAAGGAAACCTGCAGTGCCCCAGCTCTTCCAAATTCAGGCTCAGGAAGGAGGCTTTGAGTTTGAGTCAAGAAATAGAAATGCCTGTCAGAGGCTGCTGATTTACTCATGCTTCTCTTAAGACTCTCAGGACAGGCAGAGCTAGCAGTGCAATGGGCCATCACTGGGGTGATAGACATAAAATTGGGGGCATGAATTGAGAACTTCCAGCCCAACCCACATGCAGGGCATAATGGGGAGAAAGAACGTGCACATCCTTGCTTTGTGAAGACCCGCCTGAGGACAATTTCATGGTTGATGTTTGTACTTTTCAGAATCCACAAAAAGAGATCTGATCAATAAGTTGTCAGAAGAGTCCCTCTTGGGCTGCATATTTTTCTCTTCTCCAGCACCCCAACTGCATTCTACTTTCTGGGAGTTGTCTTAACTCTTCCAAGTCACCAGTGGACCACCTGACTTGCAGAGAACGCTTCACATAAGAATTTACATGAAACCAGGGATGCCGGGGTGGCTCAGTTGGTTAAATGTCTGCCTTCAGCTCAGGTCATGATCCCAGAGCCCTGAGATTGAGTCCTGCATTGGGCTCCTTGCTCAGCAGGGATCATGCTTCTCCCTCTCCCCCCTGCTCGTTCTCTTTCTCTCTCTCAAGTAAATAAAATCTTTAAAAAAAAAAAAAGAATTTACCTGAAACCAGATCAACAGGTAGCTGATAGGTAGGGAGGTAGGTAGGTCAGCCTCCCTTAAAGAGCCCGACACCGGTATGCAAGGAGCAAATGGGGACTGCACCACTGATCAGTGATTTCGTTTTTGACTCTTTTAAGAGAGCTTCTCATACAAGGAAGCAACATAGAAAGGAATAACTATTTTGAGACTTTTTGCTCATGGCACTTCATACTTAAACAGAATTGGCAGTTTTTGAAATAACAGTTTAGAAAGATATTTTCTGTACAAATGAGCAAAGCCCAACCTTTACTGGAGGAGACCACATGTCCTCTCCAAATGACAGGGCCAAGAATGACTGCCATTTTCTTTGTACCCCCAATGTGCTGGGACCCACTAGGTGCTTTCCTTCATTTTGGCTGTTTGTTTATAAGAACATGGAAAGCCGGCTTTACCCCGTGTGGATTCACTTGCCCCAGATGCCAGAGCCAGGGAGCACACTGACACGCCCTCTGTGTCCTCTGTTCTTCCCCCCACCCTGCACCACATCGCCACACTCAACCTGTTCTCGCTGTCGAGGACACTAGGGCTCAGGGACAGAGGGGCTGGAACGAAGTGCAGACAACTGAGGTATTTTAAAAGAGGTCCCCGTTCTAATCAATGCCAGGTGGTCGTGGGCTCATTTCCTCTTTGCGTAGGACATTTGAGAAAATATTGCAAGAAACTTCTGAGAGTCCTTATTATTTGTTCCTAGGACTTTTTTCTCCTCAGTGCTCAAGGGGGTTTGGACACATGCTTCTGGCAGCGGGGGCTCTCTCCCCCAGGTAGGGCCCTGCCCCTTAGAGGGCCTTAACATAGGAGATGGTGCCCGGTGAAGAGTCACTAACTTATTTAAAATGAGTAATTTTTAAACATTATAGAGTATTTCAAAAGAAAAACCAAGAGTATAAAAGAGGCAAACAGTGAAAAGAAAGTCTCTCCCCCACTCTCAGTTCCTGGTCCTGCACTGCCCTCAAGGTCCCCGATGTCCAGCACCTCTGGGTCCTTCCAGGGATGCCCTGAGTGTGTAAGCACTTACCAGTGGAAGCAGACCTGATGCACAGTCCTGCATTTTGCTTCGTTCACTTGATAACACATCTCTGAGATTATTCCACATCTACAGAGGAGCATTTGCCCTATTCTGTTCCCTTGCTGCAAAGTGTGGGGGCACTAGGATCTAATGGTCCCCTGTTGATGGGCAGCAGGTGCTTTCTAGACTTTTGGGGTTACAGTGTGGCAATAAGCAACATGTTGTATTCATTTTCTTTCCACTGCTCTATGAGAAGTCTGCACTATGACCTCATTAATTACCTCCTACCTCTGTACTTGCTGTAGTACAGAGCCTCCATCAATGTTTCTGCATTAATGGTGATGGGTAACATTTTTTAAGTGCTTACTGTGTATCAGGTACTATGCTAAACACCTTACATGGATCAGTATTTTTTCATATTGCCTCAATTTTAATCACTATAATGTTATTCTGTAAGAATGATATAAATTATATAAATGTGTTGTTACATACATATATTAACTTCTTACGAAAATAGATATAATAATAAATAAGTAATATTTAATGTGATTACCTCGATTTTATAGATGGGGCCGGATACCTGAGAAGTGGTAGAGGTGGGATTTGAACCCAGGTACTCTGGCCCCACAGTCAGTGTGCTGAACCACCCACTCTCTTGACTAGTGTTGAGAAAGTCACTTGAGTTTCTAAGGGTGCTGGCGAGCACAAAGTCTTTAGACTGAATGCATGAGAGTGGTGTATACAGTGGAGCTCCACAGCAAGCTGGGGGAAGTCCTACCCAGAGCGATGATCACGTGACAAGTGCCCCCAGAGCACGTGCACATTGGCCCCCAATGGCTCCAGCTCACCTGTGTCTCCGTCTCCAGACAAGCAAGGTGTGCCAAAGTCAGTACATTTGATGTGCACCTGTCAGATGTTTTGAGCACAACTCTTGTTTTATTTTTAGTAGAAGCAAAAGTATTTTCTGGAAGCAGCGAGAAGCAACAAGGAGAAGCACGTGTGACTTTGTCTGCTCCCCCAGTGGAACAGAAGCTGGTTAAAGAGTTCCTTCCCGATGGGTGTAGCTCTCCAAACAACAGCTGTCAGTCTAGCAACTTCTCTGAGCCCTCAGAGAGTCAACAGCAAAGCTTCCTGAAATCCGGAATCCCTTTATCTGGCTTTCTTTGCCCCTTACAAGATTTATGCACATCTCCACAGGAAGACAGTGATGTTCAGATAGAAAGAGAGTCCCCCAAAGGTAAGGAGCAAGGGAGGTAGGGTTGAGGTGGTTCTGCTGTGATATTCATATGGAAAATGGTATGATGTCTTCCTGAGCCCTGGTGCACACAAGCTCACCTCATAAAGCTGTCCCTTCTGGACCGTGTGAGCTGAGAGCGAGCAGGACCTGCAGGTTTCCATGGTGGGTGAGTTCTCCCTCCCAAGCATGGAGAAGACAACCCTGTGTGGGTCAGGGATTCCGGCCCCGCTGCGCAGCGGGTCCGGATCCACCAAGGCCTAGAGGAAAGCCACTCCCAGGCACATGGCAGGCTCCCAGGCTTAGCTAAGGAGGGTATGAGACGTTGGTGTGGCTGCTCTGAGGTCCACCAGGCCGCCCGTGGTCTTCCGTGAGTGCCTAGCAAGGGTCCTGTCTGAGAGGTGCAGGCCCTGCAGTGTCCTCCAGGTGGGTCCCAGTCTGAGCCTCGCACCGATGAGGGAACCAAGAATTCCAACCCAGCCATCCCTCTTCTAAGACCCAAGCAGCTGACCCCTATTAATATTGCGGTGAACAGCGGTATATAAAAGAATATAAAGGTAGAATAGAAAAGAGATCTGTGGTGCCCAGTTTTCAGTGAGAAAACTTAGATCTCCTATCACTCTGAAGGTTTTCCCCAAACAGCTATGGATAAGGACAAAAAGAAACCCACCAGGTTATATAGCTTTGCAATATAAAGGTTAAAAGGGCTATCGTAGTTGACAAAACTAATTTCACCTGGGAGCCAAGTTAATCCCTAGTTCTTCATCCATTAATATATTGAAGAAACATTGATTAAACACCTACTATATACACACCTACTGTGTGCCGGTCACTGTGCTCAGTGCTGGAGACACCAGGAGCATACCTGTGTCTGTGCCGAGCCGTCAGGAAGCTGCCGGTGGCCGCAGGGGCTCCAGGGTGGGGCTGGACAGAGATCTCCTCCTCAAGGAAATGATTCTGAGCAGGGACTTGAAAGCTGACTAGAAGCTTACAGATCAGACCTGAGGGTGAAGAGTATTGCGGACTGAGGGAAAGGCACGCACAAAGCAAAGAGTTGATGGAGAGAATATGGTTGATTTGGGATCCAGGGGGCCAGAGTGCTAGGAGGCAGAGGGGGACCTAGTGGGAGTCTGAGGTCACACGGTCAAGTCGGAACGTCCTTCAAACCCACTCAGGGGCTTTGAACTGAAGTCAAGGCCAAGCCTTTGAGGGGCAGAGATCTAATTAGATTCCCTCTGAAAGAGACTGTCTCCTGGATGGAGGCAGGGCGGGGGGGTTGGGGATGGATGGGAGATGGTGAGGCTGGGGGCTGAGGCCCTGCCAAGGAGCACAGAGTGGGGAGGAGAGGCCACAGTAGTGAGACTTTGAAGATACAAGGGAGCACTGATGTGAGCACTGATGAAGACGGGCATGCCTGCACCGCCCCTGGGGTGCGGGGGCTGGTGGTGGGGTGCAGGTGGGAAAGGATGTGAGGCACTGTGGCATCCCTGTGGATGCGGTGAGGCAGGAGAAAGTTCACAGCAAGAAATGGGGACGGTGTGGTGGAAGGTGTAATTAACTCTAGCCGCAGGGGGCTTGGGGGATCGATATCTGGGCCGGTCGGTTAGGCTGGAAGCAGGAATAGGGGAGCAACAGGGAAATCCTCCAGGAAGCACAAGAGCAGATGCCCGAAGGAATGAAAGAGGACGATTTGAGAGCCTCTAAGTAGTATGTTGTTGGCACAGAACGGAAGGCAATAGTTGGAAGTGGAGCGTCCACCACAAACGAGCTACAAAAAGTCTGGGCTGCCTGCAGGACCTGTAGGTCTTAGGGAACATGGGTGGATTTTACATAGAAAGAGGACAGCTGGTTCAGGCCAGAGAGGATCCAGGCATGGATGGTGGATGTTCTAGCAGGGGCTTCAGGTAAGAGATTCAGGGGACCATGGAGATGCGTCCTGTGGCCCCTTGAGCCTCCTAATGGCCACCTCTCCACTCCCAACAGAACCAGCTCCTAGCAGGCTCCTGGGCTGCCCCCAGGGAGAGATGCAAGGTGAATATGACATGGTCCAGCCCTCGAAGGGGTCCCAGGCTTGTGGGCTTAAAGCACCCTGTTATGACCTTACCCCGTAAGCAGTGCTGCTGCGTGTGGCAAGCGTGTTCTGCCGTGAGAGCACACCGCTGGTGGGATGGAGCCTGCTTTGGGAAGGAGGGCACTTCCTAAAGGATTGGGGCTCAGCCTGCAGGTCGGAGGTCCCTGGGTTTGTGGCGGCAATAGGAGGGCATATGGGTGAGGAGTAAGATGCTGTTGGGTTTCAGAGCTGGGGAGGTGCTGGGAGGCTGTGTTGGGGGGCGGTGCGGACGAGGGTAGGGGAGCTCACACAGGAAGAGTGGGCTAGCGTGGACGGAAGGGACAGTGTGTCCCTGGCGGAGCAGTTGGTCAGCAAGTGGTCAGTGAATGCGTATTAATTCGTCCTTCCCCGTGCCAGAGGCTGTCCTGCCCAAAGTGCTGTTGAATCAGTGTGCCCCCTGACCTTTTCCACAAGGGATTGTCAATGGCCCAGGAAGTGACCAGATCCAGCTGAGAGACAGAGAGAGAGAGAGAGAGAGAGAGAGAGAGAGAGAGAGATCATTCCAATTATACATGTAAAGCCAGTGGTATTCACTAGCGGTTGAAGGGAAGGGATAAATAATTGAACACCGGTTTTCTGTCTTACATCATTAGTGTAGCAAACATAAGACAAATTAATACACTGTCCCCAAACAACTGAGCTATAACAATTGTACAGGACACACTTAATATGAAGCCTGGAATAGAAAAGTTTCTTTTCATTGTGAACAGAAGCATTTTGAACCCTGGAAGCCGAGGGAATACCTCCATGGTATAATTAGCCGGTGCAAAGTCTGGCTGCCCACAGACATGCCTCCCTGTGACGGGGGGGGGGGGGGGGGGGGGAGGGGGGCCTGTGGAGGCAGGATCTCATAGGCTTAACGAGGCCCATTAATAACCCACTGGTGTTTCTATTTTCCAAATTGTCTTCTGTGTCTCATGACTCTGAGAAGCCAGGAGGAAATCTTGCTGCCCCTCTAAATGGGATTCTAAATCTTCTCTCCCAGGGGATTACAAGTGCTGTGACTTGGTTGTGAAAATAAAGGAATGCAGGAAGAGTGAGGAGCCCCCCGAGCCAGCACCCCTGGAACCAGCACCCCCAGAGCCAGTGTCCCCTGAGCCACCAGAGACCCCTGACCTGTCCGAAGACTGTTCTGAGGGTCAAGGAACACCTGTAAGCTCCTTGACCTTGCAGGTAAGGCCCTCTGTGCACCCCGGCTTGATCCCCACCGAGGGGAGACCTCTCCTGGGGAGTCCGTGGTGGGGGGGGTCACGATCTCACTTCCACCTCTGAGACTGGAGGCTTGACTCCCCTTCGTAATGGCTGTGTGACCCTGGGCAGGTCCCCTAACCTTTCTGGGCCTCTGTTTCACAGTGTGAGTGCTGGAGAAATGATGTCTACTCCACTGGGCTAGAATGAGGATCGCATAATATTGGTCATGACAATGATCATAATGATCATAGTAGTGACAGCATTTCTTCTTTTTATTTTTTTAACAGCATTTCTTGAGAAGTTATGGGTAACACTGCGCAGGTCCCTTTATAGGCATCAGGGCCTTCCATCCACGCTGCCCCCCTATGGGGCACGGGTCCCTGTGATCCCATCTTCAAGTGAGGATATTAAGCTTTGGAAAGATTAAGGAGGTTGCCCTAAATCACATGGCCATGAGCTCAGGGATGTGAAAGCTTTCATTTGGTGTCTGTTCCTGGTTGTAGAAGTAATACGTACACATTTTTTAAAGTTCAAAATTACAGAGAGATAAAAATTAGCAGGGCAGACAACTCTGAGAAAGCTCCTGCTAGCAGCGTGTTGTATAATCGGGCATACTATCTGGGAAAGGACTTGATAGGCTGTAAACATCCCTGCAGATGTGCGGACAGTGCCATTGGCCGGTCCCTGCCCCCGGGGTCCTCGATAGGTCCATGGGAAGAGACTCATGATGACCCTGAAACAGCCGCGCTGGGCCAAGAGGCTGTTCCCAGGGGCTCTCTGAGCAGCCCCAGTGTGCCTGGGACCAGGGGACGGTGCCATGGAGATCAAGTGGCCAAGAAGACTCCTTTCCCGGCACAGCTGCCAAGGCCACTTCCAGGATGCAGATGGAGCCTGAACTGCCCTCCCCATGGGAACCCTGAGCTCCCAAAGGGCTGGGGGAGGAGTGAGGCAGAGGAACAGTCTGCCATATGGTAGCATATCCTACCCTACTGTGTGCGGGGCTCAGGGCAGTGGCGGGAGGGCCACAGGGTGGGTGAGAGCCATGGCATCCAGGAGCTCACAGCCCAGCCTGGCCATCAGTGTGTATGAATCCATTGTACGAGGTGGTCTGTGAGGTACCACAAGGCTCGGGCCGAACGGGACGACCCGACAGAGCTTACCGGGAGAGCTGGAGCACTCTGACGGGTGCGGCTAGGGTATTCCTCCAGGCAGTGGAACCATCTGAACAGAGGTTTTCAAGGAATAGCAAGAAGGCAGTGTGGAAAAAAAACGTGGAGGCCCCTCAGATCCACCAAACCACAATGAGCCTCGGATTTTGCCTCCATCAAATGGGGATAAGTGTATCTGCTGTTCAGAATCAATGTGGGGATTCCCAGAGACAGCGGAGCCACATAAAGCGCGTAGCCCAGTGTCTGACACAGAGTGGAACGCATCGGTGGTGGTATCTTTTTCAGTGGACCTGAGCACGTGCATGGGTGGAGGGGGGCGTGTACTGAGGGATATGGCCGAAGTGGAAATATGGCCATGCAGACATCCGCTGCAGAGCTTGCAGAACCAGTTTGCATAGGCAAAGATACTTTGCCAACTTTTTCTTCCTGGGAATAGACATTCCTGTTAGCCAAGATGACTGTTTCTCCTGAAAAGGCATGTATTTCACACTGGGTGGATGATCTCGGTCTGTGCGTGAGGCGTCCAACCCCCAGCAGAAGCAAGTGACTCATGGTGCCTTCATTCCTTCCCCACCCATGTCTCTTTGGAGGAGGGAGTTCGGGGCCCTCGGATTTCAGTCTGTTGGAAACCGACTGGATTGACGGGGAAGAAGGGATGGGTAGAAGTGTGCCACCTTGCTGTGAGTGGCCAGGCAGTCACGCTGCAGCGGGGCCCTGGGGGCTGGCTGGGATTGGCCCGCAGGACCTATGTCCTCAACATGCCTGTCACAGTCCTCACACAAGGCAGTGGCAGAAAATCGTGGTGTGCGGATGCGCTGTGGCTGTTGGTCTTTGAATGTTGTGCTTTTGATCAGCTTCTTGACCAAATCAGAGGGATGTCTCTCTTGCCCGCATCACTTCTATTAAAGATAAAATATTCTCTTGCTGCTGTTAGGAAGCCCTGGAAGTCCGGAAACCCCAGTTCATTTCTCGTTCCCAAGAACGGCTGAAGAAACTAGAACACAGGGTACAGCAGAGAAAAGCCCAGCGGACGGAGAACCTGGGCCAGAAGCAGAGTCTCTTTCCTCCCCGCGCCAACAAGAAGCAGTTCACGGTTCCCCACCCTCTTAGCGGTAAGCTCCAGGGGCCTCGGGAGGGCAGGTGAGACCAGGGGGGTCTGAGGGGCCTGGGACTGTGGTGATGGTACAAGTGATACCCTGGACCTGCCCCGGACTCAGGTTTGCTCCACGCATCCAAACCGCAGTTTCATAAAGCCTGCTCCGGAAGCCAGCCCATTGTGGGAGCTTCTAGAGGGCACTGAATTCAGCTGAACTAGCTTGGGACACAAATTTACCACTGTAGCTGGGAAAGAAGCCACACAACTGTAGCAGCCAGGGTAGCAAGTTCAAATTCTTGGCTCCTAACAGACATTTGCAAGCGATCCCCTTTGCCCTGTATAGATTGCAAAACAGATCTCAGGGTGAGAGGGTGACTCCAGCTTGTCTACATCAACATTCGTCATCTTGAAACCCTTTTCCTGCTGGGAGCTCGGAGAGTAGATGGCCAGCTTTCCAAACGCTGTGGAGCCAGTGTCGAGCTGACCCCGTGAGGGGCGGCACGCATACACTCGTTAGACAGGGAGAACTCAGGAATCTTCTCTGGGCCAGGCACCATGCTGGGAGCTGGGGATAGCACTGTGAGCCAGACTGGCCTTGATCCTTTCTTCCTGGAGCTTATAAACAGACTATTAAAGCAGCAAGAAAAACAAGAAGAGACGAGAGCAAAAATGGGGACATCGGAGCACATACGGATGGCCTGCCAACTCAAATCTGAAAATCTGGAGGCCTGGGGAAACCTCCCTTTTATTCCTTTGGATAGAGGAACAAGATCTTTCTTCCTAGGAAAATGTTCTGGCCCCCAGGAGGTGAAATCATGAGTATAAATCTGAATAAAAGTCCTTTAGGGAAATAACCATATTCAATAAAATGCAGCTTAGCAAACATTACAGACACTGTAGGGGAGCCTGGGTGACAGAGGACAAAGGGTGTTATTCCAGAATTCCTGCTCACCTCCTTGGCCTGTGGGCAGGCTGTCTCCTTCATCCACCCATGGTGCTGCAGGTCATAAGACCCCGGGCAAGGGTGCATCCTTCTCGTGGCAGAGGATTTAGCAGAACACCTGCTGCTCCTTCCCAGTGACATTTTCTAGTATGCTTTAAAAAAAAAAAAAAAAAAAAAGGAAATCAACAAAATGAACATGCAGAGACTTTCCCTCTTTGAAAATGAGTCTCACCAGTGTTACAAGCTGCTTGACAGATCCAAGCTCGATTTGGGTGTGTTCTCTTGGGGACTAAAATCTCTGGCTCGACAAAGAGCAACCTGGGTTCAGGTGCACGCTTTTCAAGTCACTAGGAGGAACCAACCGTCAGCCATAAGTGGGAGCCCCCCTGGACACTTGGACATCTGAGCTTGTCCTGGAAGGGCTTCAAGGGTGCTCCTGATGTGTGGGCCACTTGGCCTTGACATTTTTGAAGATCCTGCCTATTAAAAAATGGTTAACAAATGTGTTGTCAACAAACATAAGACAGTGCCACTGTAGAGCTCAACAGATGCACGTATGAAAAATGGCTTCTGATTAGCTTCTTTTTCAGTCAGATCCCTTTGTTTTGTGTGGGAAGAAATGGGGACCCAGGGACACTCAGGAGTGTCTTCTGTGTGGGGCCATTCCTCAGCGGCAGCGCTGGGTTCTTCATCCCCTGGGCCAGCTGCTTTCCAGCTATGCCACACGGTGGGTGCCAAATCCTCCAGGATTACTATCATCACCAATATTAGAGAGATGCCCGTTGGTCCTCCCTAGGGCTGCTTTAACAAGTGACCACAGGCCGGGAGGCTAAAATAATAGAAATTTATTCTCTCAGAGTCAGAGGGCCAAAAATCCAAAATGAAGGTGTCTAAATGGTGGTTTTTTTTCTGGCGGCTCAGAGGGAGAATTCACGCTCTGCCTGTGTCCTCGCTTCTGGTGGCTTCTGGCAGTCTTTGGCGTTCCTTGGCTGATAGATGCATCTCTGCGTTCCCCACCTCCATCTTCACGCGGCCGCCTCCCCTTGTCTGTGTGTCTTTGTGTTCAAATTGCCTCATCTGAGGACACCAGTCACGGGATCAGGGTCCACCCTCATCCGGCATGAACCATTCTAACTCACACGCATCTGCAAAGACCCTGTTTCCAAGTCACGATCACAGGTTGGGTTGTGGGGTAAGGACTTGAACATGTCTTTTGGGGAGACATAATTCTACCCACTACATTGTCCAACCGTGGCGTTTTCCCCTAAACAGGTCTCCTTACAAGCTCACATTCAATGAAATCTTTAAATGAAGTTCACTTTAAATGAACATCTTCAACTCGTCTATAATAAAGGGTGATCAGACCCAGTCAGTAGTTTTAAATAACCAAGGTACCTTTTTGCCCTCCCCAGTTCTGAGGTAGCCCCAGCAAGTAGGATGCTGTGGCCTGGACTTTGGCGCAGGGACTTTATGGCCACTCTGCCCATCCCTGAAGTATTTATGTGTCGATGAGAGCTTTATGCTCCTGTTTGTTTGTGTTAGGTCAGTTAAAGCAGACAACTTCTGAAACCGGAGCCTCGTGTAAGCTGGGGCAAGGGAGAAGGGAGTGTTTAGGGCCCCATTAAACAAGTCTACAGTACACATCTTGTCTTCAGCCTGTCTGCTGGCAAGATGATAAAAGCGAAATGCAGATGTTTTTCTTACATGCTAAATTAGTTAATAAATCATATGCGTGAACGAGCTTTGGCTAGAGCGTCAAGATGTCCGTTAGAAGGCAGACGGGTCTGCCTTTTGAGCTGCGCTAGCTGCCTCCCATCATCGGGGTCTGCCCAGCAGTCTTGTCTTCAGCTCAGCTGGGCACTCTGGTGGCTGACAAATGCCTCGTCGGGCAGGGGCTGCCGGGACAGTGGACCCCTGACCTGCAGGGACGATGACAGCGAAGGCCAGGGGGCCAACTCTGCTTCTTGTTGACTCACGAATGCTGAGCGGTTTTCAAGGCTCAGGGCAGGGACACACGTGGACGTGCATGCACGCACGTGTGTATGAGTTCACTGGGCTCCCTGTTTGTAGATGGGGATTTGCGTGGCCAACTGAGACTCTACAGAGAGACTAGGAAGTGGCGGATAAAGGTCCTGTCTACCGCCCGCCTGTCTTTAACTGTCTCACCAGCTGTAGCTTAAATTCCCAAAGTCCGTACACGGGTACATCTCTGTCCTTGCCCGGAGCCATCTGGGCTACCCTTGCGTGCCCATGGCAGTGACCCGAGAGCTTTCTCATCCATCACTTAGCAGGCCTTTCTTGAGAACTCACTGTGAGGTACAGTCCCTGGTCTCACGGGCCCGTTCACCTCGTGGGGAAGGCACATGGGTAGAAGCAGCACTTGGGGCTGGTGGAAGGCTTCTGCTGGGGAGACCTCCAAACCACACGGGGATGAGGCTGTGCCAGCGCATCGTGGTGCAGGGTGTGGGGGGGAAGGGGTGGGGGGGCGTGAGGATGTCTGTTCAGCTCGGACTGAACTGCAGAGTGGGGGGCAGAGGGCGAGACAGGGGCCGCAGGTGAGCCCAGGAGGGCTAACAGGGATTGTAAATGCTGCTTCCAAATTTAACCTTATTCTGAGGTCGAGAGCTGAGGCAAGAGTGGCTCCAGGCAGGACAGGATGGGCAGGCCTCGGGCAGGGCAGTGGGATGCAGGATGGTGACAGATGGGACGGCTTTTGAGGTGGCAGCATCAAGAGAATGTGGTGACTGCTGAATTGTGGAGGAGAGAAGGTGAGAGCCAGGGAAACGGAAGGCGGAAGACGGGAGGCAGGCTTTGCTTGCGGTCTCTGAGGTTATGGACTCTGCGGTCTCAGGGCACCCCCGTCCCCCGCTCCTTCCCACGTGAGGGCTCTCCCTGCTCACTCCACCACAGTTACTGGGCTGCAGGCAAGCCTTCCCCATCATCACTACACAGCTCCCAGGGGCCCGGGGGTTGGTCGTGTTCAAAGGCCGACCCTAACCTGGGAATTGGAATGTTTCAGAATTAGTCACTGCTTTTGCCTTACAGAATGAGTCTGGGCGGGGTGAACGGAGAGTGTTAGGTATAGCACCCTCAGGTGTAGCTGGTACAGCACCTGCTGGGAGCAGGTGGCTCTGTATCCACAGGTGTGGACATCCCTCGTTATCCTCCGCTGACCAGTGTGTGGCTGTAACCAGTTCCCGCTGCAGCTCCCCAGCCTCGCCCTCTTCATCGCTGGGAGTCCAGCCCAGCGCCCCCCTGGATTTCATCCCCACCTTGTGACCTGGACCCTTCCCAGCCTGACTCTGCCCACCCCTCCCCTCCCCAGCTGGTCTCCTCAGCGGTCCTTCCTTAAGTCAGGGCCCCTAAACCACCTGATAGAAGCCTTATCTGTTTCGCCTTGTCTCTGCCCTACAGAATCCTGCCTCACCTCACCGGCCCAGCCCAAGTCCAGCCTCTTCTTGCCTCTTACTCCCAGGGCCATTCCTTCTGCTTCCTGTAATGCCTGACCTGCTCTGGGGGGTGCTGAGTGCGCCGCTCTTTATGAATCGCGGTTGCTACCTGCAGCCCGTCGGGCACCCGGCGATGCTCAGACACGCACGCTGCTGTCCTTCTGTCTCAGCTGTTTCTTCTCTGCCTGTCGGGACTCTCCTCATAGCCCTCCCAGGTTGTCCCCCTAACCTGCGAACGTGTAGAAAACCCATGAGGAATATCCCCTTCTTCCGCAAAGCTCTCCCTGATACTCTCATCCAGTCGCCTGCCCCCTTCTTCTTCCATCTGAGTGCTCATGGTGCTTGTATCTTTCTGGATCCCCAACCTTCTCAGCTTCTCCGCTTTGGGTTATGGTCAGGTGGGGATGCTAGTAAAGTCTCCCTAGACTGTAAGTGCCGATGGGCACGTGCTGCACTAAAGCCACTCTGGGCAGCCCTGCTGCACGTAGCAACACAGACTGAATTCATCTGAATTGCATTATCCACACTTCCCAAGGTGATCCAAGTCAGAGCCATTCAGATCACGGACCAGTAGAGGAACGGAATTCTCCGGAAGGCACTGCAGAATTCCTCCTCCAGCAGATC